AATTCCATTGGCAAACTATCTCATTTACCTACTCAAATTATGGGTAAATATACTTAATTTAAGAAATATTTACTTATTTCTAGATCATTTTTCCAGTGGAATCAGAAAGGACTCCCTCTTCGCTTTAATTGCCCCATCCTGCACGTTTTTTCTTTTCTTTCTGATTGTTCTCTCTGGAGCAGTCGGGCATGGACAAGCAGACCAAAACATCCCACTCTAGCATTCTTCATCTTCTACCCTTTTTTCGCTACTCCCGCCACTAACATTGACGAAGTGCCCAAATCACATATGCCTAAACTATAGCAACTAGATGCAATGTTCTAAACAGCAGAACTGACCAAACAAATAACGCTCACATTAAACAAATCAAAAATACAGGAAACAAATGTTATATATCCAAATAAAATATGCTCAGGCTACAACATGGGGAAATGACTGGAACTAATCTTTGTACAGCCTGATTGACATCTTCAGGTGTTTGAACATATTTACCTTCATTACTATGAGCCCGTGAATGCCGAACGCAGCAGATCGATCCAAGAATTCTCTGCTTGACTTTTCTACTGTCTGTCTTTTACAGGATAGCTCTGTTTGAGATAACATCTGCAGTTCACCTTCTTCCTCTGAGATGAACTCCTTCTGGATTTTACAGAGCATGGCCTCCACCTCCAGAGCAGCAAAAACAGTCTCTTCCTTTGTCTTTGAGGTTATTTCTATACATGCATGACCTTGAGTCAAATAGCTTTTCATTAACAACCCTTTTCTGGGTGACTCTAGCCTGAGATGGTCTTCCATCCTGAAGTGCAAAATAAAGTTGTTGTAGATCGTAATGGTGTGAGATTGCATTGAAAGAAGACGATTCAGCCACTTCTCAGCCTCGTGTGTTGATTCATCAGACGGACCAAGCAGGATGAGGTGTGGAGTTGAAGCTCTGCTGGTATGGGAATCAGCTTTACGCCCAAATGCTGTTGAGTAAAATGAACGACTTTATTACTCATTATGATACTGGAACCTTTAACTTTGTCGCACTTCTGATATTAACATTGCTCTGAACTTTATTGAAAGTGGCCAAAAGACATACATCTTAGAAAAACATCAATTATGTCTCAGTGGCCCAATTTCAAGAATAACAAATCTAGAAAGGAAATATACCAACAGAAAATAATAAAATGCAAAGAAGGTCTGTTACTTTAAGGTTAAAATGATTAGTTTGTAATCTTGTTTGTTTGTTTTTGTTAATTGATTACATTTTAAAATCACCTTTTTGGTGGTGTTCCAATATATTTCAAGGTGACACTTTTAGCAACTAGTGGCGGTAGACATATAACTCTTAGGTTGAGAAGCTCTGAAAGCAACTGTAAACACTATATATGGGCATAAGCCATACAGCAGTAGCAATTCCAAAGTTC